TTGCACGGGCTGGCCACCCGGGACCCGGGCGGCCCAGCTGGTAGCCTAGGTATTTAGGGCATATTCCCGTCTAAATACAGCAATAATGACCGTACGTTGTGTTCTGGCGCAGAAGGTAAGCTACATTGGCAAATTGAAAAGTGCACTGCGTCGTGCGCAGATATCTCACTGAAGGGAGCACAAGTGGAGTCCATTAAACTCCGTTTCAACATAATCACTTATATAAATTCCAACTTCTGTATTGAACAAAACTTGTCAAAATGTCCATCAAGTCATAAGTTGTAACAAAACTTCACTGTTTCTTATTATACAAACCGGGAAACGGGCCCGGCGTCCCTCACATATGTGCAGGCGGCTCCTGATTGTGAGCGAGGCATCACCGGCCAAGCTCATAAGTTGTAATCCCTTTGATTAATGGTATTCTGATCTGTGTTACCGACTGGGCCATCTGGGTCACCTTGGTTGCCCAGGCGGCCCGGCCAGGCAAGGGGCTACGTGGTGCAGAAAACTAAAACAACTTCTGCCTCAGGGTCAGCTGAATGCCATGACCGGGATGGCTTCAGTTTTGAACACAGTGTCACAGTTGCAGTAATTAAGACATCCGGCTGTTATGGCTGAGATCACCGGTTCGAGTCCGTGCGGCCACGGATTTAGGTCCTGGCAAACATACTATTATCAGTATGCAAGCGCTATAACCTGTCAGGAGGACAGGATCACCTGGAAGTGGTGGTGGTGTTAGATTTAGGGCGCTTAACGAGGTACGCGCTTGGAAATGTGCCTGAGGATGGTTTCAGTTGTGGCGAGACGTGTGTCGAGCGTTGAGTTGAGTTATCTCCCACTGCAACTGTGCTGGGGAGGGCTGAACGACACGACCGGTAGGGCTTCGGTTTTGAACACCGGGTCACAGTTGCCATGGTTAAGACATCTGGCTGTTGTGGCTGAGATCACCGGTTCAAGTCCGTGTGGCCACGGATTTGGGTCCTGGCAAACATACGATTATCAGGGTCGGATCAAAATTCTTTGCCAAGTTAAAAATAAAAAATGGCAAAATGCAATATTTTTATTATTTTATTATTTTTCTATTTTTATTTTTGAAATTTTCTATTCGTTTTTGGCCCAGCAGCGCAAGCGGCCCCAGGCCAGCCTGATAACGTAGATTCCGACTCTGTTCCCACACTAACAATTCAATCTGTCAATCCGCCTCCCTGAACTGCACTTGATGCAGGGAAGAGGTAACCATGAATGAGTACTGTCCTAACCCAAACAGAGTGCCCGGTCACCCGGGCTGTTTTGAGGGCAACTTTCAGTCTAGATGCGGCACTAATGACCAGGTGATGTGTGTTCTACTCACGTGGAGATGGTCACTTTGACTGTTTTGGGGGCAGCTTTCGAGAGAAGGTTAACGGAGGCCTGAATTTTCAGAACTCGTGCCATTTATAAGAAAACCCAAAGGCGTTTTTAAACTACCAGTACTTGGCCTGGCTATCGGCTGTGGAAAAAAAATAGAGTACAAAGTACTGGAAACGTTTCTAGTCGGATGCATTTGGGCGCTCCTGTAGTGGCCTGTACATTTGCTAAAATCGTGGCTTGTTAACAGGCACAACTTTAGGAGGTACTGGTGGTTTAATGAAACTTGTCACCCATACATAGAGTGCACACCATATACTAACTAAAAGCAAAAAAATCAAAAAAACAAAAACAAAAACAAGAAGGAAAAAAAGAAACAGTATAAAACCCCAAAGACCATTTACGATATGGTAATCTACTACTCTATCAATTACGAGTTCAATCCATCAACTGCTCCTGAGAGTCATCAGCTGAAAGATTGAGCTGGAAGTTCGTCAAATCATAGTCTTAATGGATCAAACAGTCACTAATGAAGAATTTGAGAGCAATTAAGAAAACACTACAAGAAGTAACAAAATAGTAAAAAAGTATTTAAAATACTAAAATAGCAAAATGCCGGTTCACATCACAAATATGAGACAAGTCTGACAAACTAAATAGAAATTATAAAACAGTTACTAAAACTGTAAGACAAAACTTTGCCCAATGAAAAAGAATTTGGCGTGAAACCTTTCAGACAGCAGGCCAAGACTCCTGAAAATTGTAACGTTTGACGAAACTGGTGGTTTAGGGGCTGGAGTCACGTTGTGGCGGTGGCAGAATTCTAGTTGGCGGCCATAACTGATACCCCTAACCAAGAAATGGCGGGAGGAATTCCGACCAGACCAACTGGTGCTGGAATCCACCGGGTACAGTGTGAAATGTGGCTCGAGACATCCGGTCCGCCGAGCTGCTGCGAAGCACTGGGAGAGAGGCCTGGAAAAGGCTGAGCACCGCACTATTGATTGATCAGGTGACTGGAAATTCTTGTGTTGGCAGTTAAAAAATCAGGGTGCGCAGGAAATGCAGGCAAACGTGTGACGTGTAACCCCCGCGCCCAGTGCCTCTGTCCTTTCAGAGTGGACAAAAGGGGCCCCGGGAAAGTGCAGAAAAATGGGGGTGTGCCAAGGATTTTAGGATGGAGGTTGGGATTCCAGGTGGGAACTGGAATCTCCTTTACCGATCGTGTGGTTGTTGAGCAGCCCCTCCTTTTTCTGCACTTTCCCGGGGACCCTTTTGTCCACTTCGAATGGAGGTGTGCCAAGGATTTTCGGATGGCGGGAAGAAGAGAAGACAGACTTTGTACCTCGAGACTTGAACCAACTGAAACACAAGGAAAATTTCCCGAAACCCGATGACACAATTTCAAAAAGCTCTGTGACTACACAGGACCTTCTGACACCACTCTCCTGGCTGAAAAGGTCGGGGCATATACGCCGGATCATGATCGCAAGTGATGGCTTGTTTACGTGTCTCGCAGAGGTCAGAATCGGAGTCAGATGGTTGCAACCACGATATCAACTGTGCTTTCTGCTTCTCCGCAGGGCGCACCCTTGTTCATTCATATGTGGGCATTCACCTCGTCTACATTTTCAGCACCAAGTTCAGAGCCAATGAGGGGCTACAGTGGGCCAAGGAATCACAGTGAGCCCGTTGTACGGAGAGCAAAATTGAGTAGGGGGCAAACACAATATTTACGATTACTGAACAAGAGTTAACAAAAGCAGAACAGTGCGAGTCATCTGCATGCTCCTCGGACGCGTAAGGGTATGGGAAGGATCGGACAACCTTGTCCGTACAAAACCGTTGTGAGTAGGCAAACATCATGCACACCTCAAGTCCCTGTATCAAAATTTAGAGAAGCAAACATCCATCATTGACTAGAGATTCGACTCAGTCAGATCAGCAACTACATCCACGAAGAGAAGGATCCATTCACACCATTACCCTTTCATCATAAAGGACTAGAAACACGAAAAAGAGAACTCATTCATAACAGAATACCAGGATCAAAAACTCAAAAAGGTGTTCTCGCCATCCACATTCGTCCAAAAATACACTCAAGCATCGTACATGTGGCACTCCTGCCAACATCCACCAATCAACCCACACGTGCACAAGCACCAACATTCTGTCTTCTCGCACACGGTCTTCACCCAGGTGATGCTTGCGAGATTTTTAGTTGCACAGATGGGGGCTCTTAGATGCATGCAGGAGAGAAGGGCGGAGGAGAGGGAGGGAGCTCATGGTGGAGCAACATGAAGGCCCGTGGACGGTCGAACCGCATTGTGGGGACGT